AAGAATAAGGTACCCTTAGAATGCCTCGGATATCTTCTTACTTTTTTCGTACGATTCGACACACCTTTAGCATTTTGAAGGCATACCATCGAGCCAGACGGCAGAAAATTATTGTCAACCAATTTCTTGCTGGCATACTTTCTCCACCGCGAACAATACTATCCTCGAATGATGTAATTTAGCCGGGATATGTCCCTTTTCTGTTGGACGCAATTTCACGTGGTCGCTTCTAAGGGGTATTTACCAACGCCTGGTTTTCCCTCGGGAGGTGGAAAGGGCATCCGGATTCGCGTATTATAAAATCTTGCACGGGGTCTTGGCCCCGCAATCAGCTGCAATAAAACATGAAAAAAGAAACGAAGGAAACACGGCTGCCTCTTTTTACGTGCACGCGAGCGAGACTTCGCTCGTAAAATCGTTCGAGAGGCCAGGGAGAAAGGAAACGAGCACCGATTTTTGCACCCATTTTGTACCACGGGTAGTGAACTTTCAAAAGGACCGAAAAGAAATCTTGTTTGTCAAATTACACTGCATGATTTCGATCCAATCCAGGGAGACTTCTTTACTTGCAATCTTGTGTAATTAACAATGGCTACACCATGGGTAATTGTTTATAGAAAATGGCACCTCATCTTGGGTACCATTTTCTCAAATTGTCTCCTTGTGAATATCTTAAATAAAATTTCAATTTTCAATCATTTGGAAAATTTTCGAGTTTGCATAGTTAGAATTCTTAAAATTCTTTTTAAATTTTGTGATTATCATTTATCTCCAAAAATTTGAATACTTTATGTACTTGAAATATTTTATATTTATCTTTCATTCTTTTCTCGTGTTTATTAACGTGTTCCACGAGGAGGGTGTCGAGTTAATTGGATTAACTTATTTGCACACGTGCCAACGTTCATTCTTTACCGATGACGTTGACACCTTCGGTGGTGATTACGAAATGCAAAGGTCCGCGCATAACTCCACTCACCGGAGCGAGCAAAATTAACAGGATCATTTATTTCAAATTAAAATTGCACACGACGTAACTAGGATTACGTAAATCGTGAAAAAGTTACATTCGATGCATTCTAATGATTTACAGGGTAAAAAGAAATTTTTCTAAGCGATTGCGATACTGATGCTTCGAATTAATGTAAAAAGTATTTAAACGTTCGTATACTTTTTATCGTGTATCAGGTGGTTGATTTCGAAACATAGAAAGTTTAATGCAATTTGATGACAGAAAAGTATCACGGAATAGTACTTGTAATATATCAATTTAAAGCTTAAAATATGACGAAAATAATGATATAAACGTATCTAGAATATTGCTAATACAAGATGATAGGTTGTGGATCGCAACGAACAATGCAAGGATTTCAAAGTATAGAAAGTCTGACGTAATTTCATGCCGGAAAAGTATCACAGAATAGGACTTGTGGCACATGAAATTGAAGCTAAGACTTTAATTAAAATGGCTATAGAAATGGTTTATTAATATTTTTAATACAAATCGTGTCAGATTTTTTCAAATGATCCAGGATCATTGAAAGCCAAGTCCCTTTGCAATTTGTTGCTCGATCACGCGAGACGAACGTGTGCTTATCAATAGAATACGAGTGCGCAATGTCATTTAATAAAAGTTGGCTGACGAACGTGTCTCTCGGCTCCATTGACGGTATCAAAGATCGGACACGAGTCGTAAACATTCGCACGCTCCAACCGCGGCCTCTACGTTTCATTCTAGTGATAACAGTCTTGCGTGCTGGCACAAACGATAAACTATCACGATACCATGCCGCTTTCTACCCGACGGTGACATCATTGATTATTGTTTTCCTTCCTGGTAATTCCTCTGGTACCGCGAAAAGCCAGTCGAGTACTGTGAGACCGAATAAGAATCGACGTATTCATTTTAATTGATAGAAAAGGACACACCATTTCAATTCTCGATATTGATAATATTGATACCTATACATTCTTATTAACTGTTTCCGGTTTCGACTGCTAAGAATGTTTTAGTTGTTCTGATAGGAAAATATAATTAAATCAGAGGGTAATTGTACGTGCCTGATATAAGTATTTTACAGGAGCATACAAAAGTATTTTTCTACAAGTGCAACGATGCATTCAACAAATGCATTTGCACTTTGTTCTAGTGGAACGATATATTTCTTCTTTAAAATTTGGTCAGGGATAAAGCGAAGTGAAATAGGATAATAAGATTCAATTTTTCTTACAAGGATAACGATGCATCTTGGATGCATGTGAGAAATGCATATTATGCACTTTTTCTTCGTTGCACTTTTTCCTTCAGTAATATTCTTTTTCTAGAATTTGGTTAGAGATAAAACGAGGTTTAATGAAATAAGAATATCCATTTTTCCTTATAAAGGTAATGAATGATGCATTTTCGATGCATGTGAGAAATGCATATTATGCAGTTTTCTTCGATGCACTTTTTCCTTCAGTAATATTCTTTTTCTACAATTTGGTTAGAGATAAAACGAGGTTTAATGAAATAAGAATATCCATTTTTCCTTATAAAGGTAATGAATGATGCATTTTCGATGCATATGAGAAATGCATATTATGCACTTTTTCTTCGTTGCACTTTTTCCTTCAGTAATATTCTTTTTCTAGAATTTGGTTAGAGATAAAACGAGGTCTAATGAAATAAGAATATTCATTTTTCCTTATAAAGGTAATGAATGATGCATTTTCGATGCATATGAGAAATGCATATTATGCACTTTTTCTTCGTTGCACTTTTTCCTTCAGTAATATTCTTTTTCTAGAATTTGGTTAGAGATAAAACGAGGTCTAATGAAATAAGAATATTCATTTTTCCTTATAATAGCAATAAATCACTTATTTTAGATGCATACGAGAAATTCATATTATGCACTTTTTCCTTCAGTAGAACTGCATATTGCATATAGATTATTTTTATTACAAAAATTAAAATATCGCGGAAACAGAAAATAAGGAAAATATTTGAAACTATCGTTGCTTCCCACATTTCCACGAGTTTCAAAGAAGCCGTCGACTCGCGAACACGCTTTTATCTTCTACTTAGCACTCTCTCGAGCTGTTCGGAGCGGATCGTTCTAACAATTTCAAGCAGAGAGCTACATCTGCGTAGCTCACGTGGCTGTATCTGGTCGGTTGACAAGAGATAATGTTAATGGAGGGATTCGTCTGCCGGTTTATCGTGGCTCGAAGAGTCCCGCTCGAAAATTCGACGATAAAGGGACCAGGTTCTTCACAAAGGGCTCCGTTCAATCTCGGCGCGTCTGTTAATCGAATCGACTCTCTTAACTCTACATTTCGTCTCCTAGGGACACTTGTCTGTGGAAGTTCTTTTAAAAAAAAAAGATGGAATTTTTATTTTACATTCAGTTCATAATGAATAATCTATCATTGATATTTAATAATTTTTCTTTATCCAATTTGCCAAATTAAAATCAATAATTTCATTTTAAATATTTAATTTCTATTTTTATACTATTGTATAATTAAAGTAAACGAAGAAGGAAACATTTTTTGTCAGTATGTATGGTAACACAGTAAATTATTGATTACAGGATGCATAAAAAACATTATAAATGTTCAGAGTTCCGCTAATGAGCGACAAAAATTGCTTGCAACCTGGACCCTAACTGTGGAAAGAAGAATTCTTAAAGGGCACTACAAGCTCACTGATTACAACCTGTCGAGTTTCATACCACGATTGTCCCTAAAAAAGCCCTTTAAAACGTGTCTGGTTTGGCCCTTAATGGTGTTTAAGTCGAGCAGCAAACGATCTTTCGACAGGTTAAATGATTTTAAATCGTGTAACGAGACCTTAAAAATGTCCTGTTTAAGTTTTCCACCGGTGCTCCTCTTTTCGAATGTTCATTAAAATGTTAAAAACTTGCTCGAGATAATTTCTATATGTACTCTTTTGGTTAATAAGTTATTAATTAATTAGCTGGTTTAATTTGATACTTCTCTGTAAATCACTGTATTTTATAATGGAATATTAATTCATACATTATTGGAAGCATGCCTTAATTATCAAGGTTTTCAATAAATTATTGCATTTTAAATATTTTGAGGATTCCAATTATTTTTTTACAAAATTTTAAAATTTAGTAGCTGTTACATTTTCTATTTAGAAAATTATCAAGAAATTATTAATTTTCATTTAAATTGTCTCAAAATTATTTATGACTTTTGAATTAATGTTTCAGAATGCGATAGAATTTTTTTGTAGCAGTGTTTATTATTATTTTAAAGCTTCTTTTCTTGCAATTTTAGTAGAACTTGAAGACCATAATGTAGGTTTAATTTCTTAAAATTTCATTAAAATATTTCAAACTGTAATAAAGTTAGATATTTTTGATCGGTATTTGGGATCATTTTGTGCCAGTGTAGATCGTCGTGATGCTTCAAGGTGTAGGTGCAACACAATCAAAGCATTTTAGAGCGACCTTCTGCCGAAGAAGTAGCTTCTGCAGAGGGTTCGATGTTGGTGAGGGTAGCTGCCGCTTGAATGGCAGCGGAGAGTCAGTTTGTTCAGGGACTGCACGCGGTGCGTTCGCTTGTTTAATGTCAGTGAATTTCATGCTCTGCTGTCACAATTTAACTCACGTTTCTCACATCAACGTGCACGGAAAGTGTTGATGAAGTTTTCCCCTTTGGATTCTTTTACTTATTACAACATGTGACTTGAAGTTCTGTTTGCTTCCGTGTATGATTAACAAGTTTGGAGACACTTTGACGATAGAAAGGTAGAAGAAACGTTAATTAAAATTAATTAAAAATATTATAAATTAATGTAGAGTTGATTTATTAGAATTTAGTGTCAGGTAGATGGTAATGGGTTATTTTAAAAAATTGATAAACTTCAAATAATTCTAAATAAAATTTATTTCTATAGTAAATTTAATTATTAAATACAATTATTGTATCTTATCAAAGTGCTATTAAGATAATTAAAATTGATTTGTATTGTTACTGTTTAGGTTTTGAAAAACTGAATAGACATTGCGACACCTGCAATGATGTCATACGAATACCCTCACCCGGTTTCTAGGACGTATCAATATAAAAAAGTGAGTAATAAAATATAGAAAGTTAATAACAATTCTATTATTTCTTTCGATTGAGTAATTAAATGAAACTTAATGTATAGTTTTCTTTAGTTCTACACATCAGTTTCATAATTTTTTATTAATTTATGATTGGTATAATTTGTTTGTTTATATTAGATAACAAAACCATTGTTAGAAAGAAAACGACGTGCACGAATAAACAAATGCCTCGACGAGTTGAAAAGTCTAATGATAGATGCATTAGAGGTATGTATTCATCAACGTTTATACAGTAATTGTAGAATTAATTAACATTAGCAAAATTCTCCTGTAACACAATTTTTTCCAATTTTCACAAAATAATTTATATTGAACTTGAGAGAAAATTATTTTGGTGATGGGGGGTCAGCAGGCTCAACTTAGTTTCTACCTAATTACTCTAATTCTCTGCATTAATTGCACTGTTTTAGGCTTCCAAAAATATTTCAAAAATTCTAGAATTCTTACCAAAATCTGTCACGTTATACAACCCTTCGTTGCATGAAATTTTTGAAACTTCTTTCTAGAAAAATAGAAATTATTTCCCCTTACTTAGTAACATAGATTCTAATTCTGAACTTTTCCAATTTTTTACTAACAAAATCTAATATAATCAAAGACACAATATCTTCCAATTCAAGTGTGACAGCATCAACGTTGAAAATAAAGACACTCTCTGAATCTTTAGCAATAGGATCAGTGTAAAGGTTACTAGCTCGATCCATCGTTGGTTAAATCAAGTTTACACTGCTCGAACGAGCACGTGCTATGCTTTTTTCTCTGCCGGTTGAACGGAGAAACCTTAGCAAAAGGAAGCCACGGTTTCTTGCTCGGCTTACAAGCAAGCACGCGGGTCGTTTGCGATACCACGTTTCCCCTGGTGTAATTTCACGAGTCCTGCTCGCAGCAGGAAACGCATTCTCGGCCTGCAACTAGCCGTGGAATCGATTCGCTGCTTAAATATATTCCTAGACCGTGGGAATCGTCTCTCTTGGTTGAGTGTCAAACGTTCAACACCGTGCAATTATGAAAGGCGGTAGCCCTAACGTGCTCATTACAACCGGTGCGTGGCGTAATTGCCGATGTCTTCTGACCGATAATGCTGTTCGAAAGTAAGGAGATGAGTTTGATCAGGAATCGAGATAAATTTCAACGCGTTCTTGTTATTCGTTCTACATCAGTTTATCCTCGAAACGAGAGCTGACGCAAAAAGTAATGACTGACTTCGGGATGTTTTCTTTTTGAATTTTATTTTTAATGAGATAACGAGGGTGAACGTAACATTTCCGTTCGGAGTTGAAACTTTAGAACGTTAATTGGAATTTTAAAATTGCTTCCAAAGTGTTTCAACAAATTTTATAAATGATACTATTAATTTGAAAATCGTTTAGAAATGGAATCTCTATTTTTGAAAAAGTAGCAGGTGAATTTTGAGCCCTCTTTGGATGATGTCTGCAACCTTTATACTAATAAGGTTTCTTTCTACTTTATCATCATAAGATAAATATAAAGAAAAAAATTCGAAATTGAATTTAAAAAAGTCTAATTATTTGAACAAGATTTTTAATATATTCAAAACTAATTAAAGAAATTTCTCATTTCTTGAAGGATCAATATTTTTATAATTTAATTACCATGATACGATAATTAAAAAATATTTCAATTAAGTAATTATTATTCTAACTCTAATTCTAATAAGTAATTAATAATTAAAATAATATCTAGAGAATTAATTCAAAATTCAGAAAATGATAATTAAAAAATTGTCAATTTTCTTAGCATTATCTAATGATCAAAAATGCCTCAAATTGCAAGGGTTATTTTTATTATCAATCAGACCATGTTATCGAGAAAACCAACATTATTTAATGTCCATGGTGCCAGGTCAATCAGATTCCTCCTTGATCGTTCCATGGAATCACGAAGCGTGAACTGTACACGCTCAGACGCCTACGTGCTCCCCTTTGAAATTCAAATTCGTCTCGGTTCTTCTGTCGGTATGATCGCGTTAAACAAATACATTTTCTCCTTTTTGCCTGGATCGTGAGATTGCTGCTCGCTTTGATAATACTTCGTGCCATTACTTGTCTACCAGCGGTTACTTCGTGTGGAAAAAGTCTGGGAAAATTAGTGTGAAGCTATAGTACTCGGTTTCTTATCCCTCTGAGGGATAAAATTGAAAACCCTAACAATATTTTTATTATTTTTCCAGTACAAAAATATAATGACAAAAATAAAAATTTTTAAATTAACATTCATTTAAATTTCAAATAATAATAGTAATAATTTAGATGAATTTTAGCAACCCTACATTTTATTTGTTTCACAAAATTCTTCGGTTCAGTAACGATGAAAAATAATCCTTTGACAACATCATCGATGTTAATAACAATTCCTTTTAAAAGATGTTGATAGGCGGAAGGTTTGAATGGAAGATTTGTCACGGTTCGAACAGGTGTATCCAATCGCGATAAATGAGAAAGCAAAAAATTGCAGCTTCGATTTCATTCACGATGCTTGACCATGCCATTTTTCCTGTCACGTTTATGCGGTATGTTTATCGATAATAAATTCGAAACGAGTTGATAATTACACTTTACGTTTACCCTCGAATTTCGCATCAGTCATGAATCGTCGACCACCACGAATTTTTATCAAACATAATTCCTCATTCGCAAATAAACGCGCCACAGGCAAGCTTTTGCCAAAGTACATAATTTCCTTATGACATTATTTTAATGTACAGAAAGTGCCGTCATAAGGAGAGTACCTAAATATCTTTCCTTTTAAAATTTAAAAATTTTGTGTTTGAAATTTACCATTTTTTTTTAAATTATACTATTATTGATCCCTATATAATACAATACATTTCTTACACAATAAATTATAATTCTATTCGAGTTATGGGAGAAAATTATATTTTATTGTAATAATTAGAATTGAAATTGTGACTCTCTCCATGGTCCGCCGTCCAAGGGCTAAGAAATGCATTGTATTATATTTCTTACTTTTTTAAGAAAACTATCAATCATTTTATAGATCACCTTAGTATATTTAATAATGAATAAAATTCTCAAATATTATTTAATATCTATGGTGTTCAACTAAGGGTGGGCATCCTTAGTAATTATTCTTTTCCCAATAATTTAATGAGTATCAAATTTGAGACACTGATCGCCACTAAATGAAACTTTTTACAACAATTATCGGTGTTGAAACACTTTTATAATCTAGATCCTCGAGTTCGACAAGCATGTAACGTTTTTATCAGTTACATCCCAAAGGATCACCCTTTCTCTCGTCAAATTCCTCGCGCCTGACCTGAAATCATGTCGAACGCGTGAACGGAAAATCAAAGAGGATTTATATGTTACAGACGGAGGGGGAGGACATCAGTAAACTGGAGAAAGCGGACATTCTGGAGCTGACCGTGCGCCATTTACAAAGGCTTCAAGGATCACAGTCTTCCGGTACGATCGCGACTAACGACGAGGTATCGGCTGAAAGTCGGTGGCTGTCCGGTTTCGGCCACTGTGCAGCTGAGGCGTACAGATTTCTCTCGGCTCTTCCAGGTGAAGGTGCGGAAAGGTTAGCAAGACACCTCGCAGCTGGTCTTCAGAAGAGCCGACAAACGAATTCATCGGTAATTATCTCTTCATCGACGATCGTGAGACAATGAGGCGAAAGTTACTTCTGACTGAGACCAGTCACCCGAGATTCGATCGCGCCTTCCTATGCATCCTTTAACCCTTTTACTTCAACCTATACACGCTATTCATTTCAGACATTTTTAATAATTTAGATAATATTTCTTTTCTTAGATACTGCTTTTCTAATGATTTTTCCTTTTTCTTTTCTATTTCAAATGTAATTATATTGATAAATTTTTATTAATTTGCAGCTAAAAACAAATATATTAACGCAGATATTAGCAAACTTGAACCTCACGGTCGACCTGGTAACACCACCCCTGGGAAATCCTGTGGAAGATAGTAGAGTAACATCCACCAATCAAAACGCGATTAATTATCCTGGCGCAGTTCGCGATGGAGCGTTCAATCTTCCGACTGCTTGCAACTCAGTTGGAATGATTGATAAGAAAGACACGCTAGATAGGGCTGATGTTTCTGAAATGAAAGATTCGAGAGAGCAGCGCGCTGCGAAGAGGATCAAAACGGAAGTCAGAGCTGAAGATGATGAAGAAATTGATGTGGAACGCGTTGATGAAACTGATCCTATGTGGCGACCGTGGTAGGGTTCAGAGAAAGTTTAATAATGCAACTGATGCAATGGTTTTTGTGATTAATAGTGTTAAGGGTTCAATTGATTGCTTTAATTAGAGTTAAAAAATAATGAGACAAGTATCTTTATCGGTGAAAAATAAATTTTCAAATCAATTTTGTAATAGTACAATGAATATCATTCCTGTAACTAATGTATAACGATGCAAAAATGAAGCACAGAGTGTAGAAATAAATATATCATTAATATTGTTAAATATAATATAGATATAGATTTAACATATTACAGTATAAATGTAATATAATTAACATAATATAATGTAGAGAAATTTTTAAACGTACAATATTTATCGATTGCAAGAAACTTAGTAAACTAATATAGGTTTATTGTAATTTTTAAGTTTAATCCTTATATTTGTGATATTTCTATTCCTAGTTACATGAGATTGAAAAGATTTTAATCATAAATATTGAGAAGTTAAAAATATTATAAAGTGTATTTATTTCAGTTTTATAAACAATTTATATTTACGTTGAGAAAAATAATAACGTAAAAATATAGTTCATAGTAATATAGTAGCATACAATTTTTCTTAGTAATATGTTATGTCTTTCGCAACTTTGTATAAATTATCTTTATTTGTTAATCTTAATTTTAATGCTATTAATATTAAAAATAATTTACAAAAAAAATAGTGTAATTTTCAATTAATTTAATTCCTTTCTCCAGCTATTTATTGCATTTTATTAAATTCGTTTGTGCGTCTAAGTGGTCGAAATCAAAAGTTACAGAGGTTTCAAATTTTCTATGGAAAGTCTATGGGTCGCACATTTTAGCTTTGGGGTCCTTGATACTCCGGATGCAATACTGTCAGTAGATATAGAGTATCACCCGTGCTCCGGGGTCCCTAACACCCCAAGATGATATCAGGTCGGTGCACAGAGAGAGTCAACGGGGTCCCTAACACCCCAAGATATCAGGTCGGTGCACAGAGAGAGTCAACGGGGTCCCTGAAACCCCAAGATGATATTAGGTCGGCGCGCAGAGGTAGTCACCGGGGTCCTTGACACCCCAGATGATATCAGGTCGGTATACAGAGAGCGCTACCGATATATCGGGGTCTCTGATACCCCGGATGACATAATGTCGGTATGCAAACTCAAGTAAGTATCCTACTATATTTTTTTCACGGCTTTCAAGTATACGCAGGTCACAGGAAAGTAGAAATGAGATTAGACATATTCTTATATTTCCTTCATTCAATGTTTTATACTCTTTCTAGGTCTTATGTTTCCATAGATCCGGTCAAACCCATCACTATCCGAACAAGAGAGTTTCATGATTTATTCGTTTTTCGTTCTTATATTTCGCTAGATCCGGTCAAACCCATCACTATTCCGAACAAGAGTGTTTCACGATTTGTTTGTTTTTCGTTCTTATATTTCGCTAGATTCGGTCAAACCCATCACTATTCCGAACAAGAGAGTTTCACGATTTGTTCGTTTTTCGTTCTTATATTTCGCTAGTAGCTTCGGGGTCCTTAACACCCCGTATGCCATAATGTCGGTATGCAAAGAGAATCGCCTGTGCTCAGGGGTCCCTGATACCCCAAGATGATACCAGGCAGGTATACAAACAGCGCTATTCGTACTTCGGGGTCCTTAACACCCCAAGACGGTATCTAACCGGTATACAGATAGAGTAACCAGCGCTTTGGGGTCCCTGACACCCCAAGATGATGCCAAGAGCGCCATTCGTACTTCGGGGTCCTTAACACCCCAAGTCGGAATCTAATCGGTGTACAGATAGAGTAGCTAGCGCTTCGGGGTCCCTGACACCCCAAGATGTTATCAGGCAGGTATACAGAGCGCTATTGGTACTTCGGGGTCCTTAATACCCCAATACGGTATGCAGTAAGAGTAATCAGCGCTTCGGGGTTCCTGACACCCCAAGATGATATCAGGTCCGTATACAGAGTGCGCCATCCGTACTTCGGGGTTCCTAACACCCCAAAACGATATCAGGTCGGTATCCAGAGGGCGTCATTGGCGCGGCGTGGTGCCTAACACCCCTGGATGAAATCGAATTCGTATGAACAAGGCATAATCAGTAATCGTCCTCTAATTCCTTTTCGAAGTTTATTTAATGTACTTTATTTATTTTTTCCGCTTATTAACAAACTCATCAAAGAGGAATAAAATTTATGATTATATATATCTCTTCTAAGCCTCGGTGAACCACCCCTTTTATTTATTATTTTATCCTTCCTTATGAGCCCCGGCTTACATTTAATAGTTATTTATTATTTTATCCTTCCTTATGGACTAAAGCCCACCCTTATAAGTTATTAATTATTTTATTCTCCTATATGGGACAAATCCACACTTCCTAATTATTTATTATTTTATTTCTCATTATGGGCGTTGCGGGGACCGCCCTTCCCAGTTATTGTTTATCCTATTCCTACTTTTTATGGACAAAGGCTTTCCTTTGAGTTGTTTATTTTTTTCATTCCTTTCATGGACTTTGCAGCGATTACTTCCAAATCACCGTATCCTCGAATCCTTTATATCCCTGCATCCCTTACATCTTTGCACCTTACATCCACGCATCCCTTACATCACTGCATCCTTTACATTCCTGCTTTCCTTACATCTCTTCATCCCTTATATCCCTACATTCTTCTCAACCCTACATTCATTTCCCCTCTACATTTTTTTCATCCCTACATTCTTTCCATCCCTACATTCCTTTCATCCCTACATTCATGTCATCTCTACATTCATTTCATCCCTACATTCTTTTCATCCCTACATTCTTTCCATCCCTACATTCATTTCATCCCTACATTCATTTCATCCCTACATTCATTTCATCCCTACATTCATGTCATCTCTACATTCATTTCATCCCTACATTCTTTTCATCCCTACATTCTTTTCATCCCTACATTCTTTTCATCCCTACATTCTTTTCATCCCCACATTCCTTTCATCCCCACATTCCTTTCATCCCCACATTCCTTTCATCCCCACATTCCTTTCATCCCTACATCCCTTTCATCCCAGCATCCCTTATAGCCCTGCAAACCTTATAATAAATATATTACAACGACTGCTTTGAGTACAGGTAAGTAAAGGTAAGTTAGTTTTTCGCCAGAAATTTTGCAAAATTTAGTTCCTTTCTTCGCCACCAGAGGGCGCTGATTCGACATCAAAATTTTAGTTCAAATTTTTCCCGCTAGAGGGCCAAAAATTGAGCATGATTTAGTTCCTTTTTCCAAAACCAGATGGCGCTGATTCGACATCGAAATTTTAGTTCACATTTTTGCCGCTAGGGGGCGCTATTTTGTCGAGAATTCCGCGAAAATTTCGAAAACATAGCGCCCCCTAGCGACAAAAATTTGAACTAAAATTTCTATGTCGAATCAGCGCCATCTGGTTTTGGAAAAAGGAACTAAATCATGCTCAATTTTTGGCCCTCTAGCGGGAAAAATTTGAACTAAAATTTCGATATCGAATCAGCGCCCTCTGGTGGCGAAAAAGGGAACTAAATTTTGCACGATTTTGCATAAAAATGTTGCAAATATGTGGAGAATGCAGGGATGTAAGGGCTACAGAGATATAAGGGATTAAGTGACGTAAGGGCTACAGAGATGTAAGGGATGTAGAGATGTAGGGGATGTAGAGATGTAAGGAATGCAGGTATATGTAAGGGATGAAGTGATGTAAGGGATGTAGAGATGTAGGGGAGGTAGACATGTAAGGAATGCAGGGATGTAAGGGATGAAGAGATGTAAAGAATGTCGGGATCAAAAAAATGTATGGATGAAGAGATGTAAAGAATGTAGGGATGAAAAGATTGCAGGGATGTAAGGGATGAAGAGATGTAAGGGCTACAGAGAAGTAAGGGCTACAGAGATGTAAGGGATGTAGAGATGTAGGGGATGCGGAGAAGGATAAAATAATAGGCGAGGCACACAGGAGTGAAAAAATCAATACGTTCATCCTCGTAATGAGTTTATTTAATAAGCCAGGGAGCGAAATACAGTACATTAAATAAACACAGAAAATAAAATAAAAGTATGTGTATGTCTATAAGAGGTAGATCCGCACTCCTCGGCGGTCGGTGTATGACTGATGTGGTCTTACTTCGCTCTACGCACCGACAAGAGACTGTTAAAGACTGCCAACCCCTGTGTTAAAGTGCGGAACGCCAAGTGGGCCCAGTGGCACCGTCGAGAGGTGCTCTATGTCGAACGGTTGACAGCGGTGTCGCAACCAGTTACCTTCACCCGATATTATCATAGTTCAGGATTAGTTGCTAGATAACGCTGACTATAACATCTGGTGGTGATTTTATCAACGGAATATTTATTTTGATTTCTCTTTCAAAAAACTCGGGTTTATTAATTAATAAATTTAACTTTCATCATAATAAAGTGTCTGTAGAAAAATTATATAAACGTTTACAATTCACATAAACTAACAACACAAAGTGTCTTCACCAATTCAAATATCATCTTTAACTAATCATGTATAAAAAGAAGTACTAATAAAATAAAAGAGTTAATAAATTTATAAGTTATGCTAAACATTACAATTTTTAAAATGTCAATGGATAAATTAATACAAACAGTAAATACCAAACGTTGATAAGAAAGAAATCTATAAATTATTTGCATCATAATCGATACACCCCGCTTAGTGTCCATCAGCGGGTGATTTGAAACATAAATAAATTTCTATAACATGAAGCAAATTTAAACAGAACTTAATAAAGTAAAACAATATAAAATATATTAAGACATAGGTATTTACAGTTACATATTAATTAATTTTTTTAAGTTAAAATAATTTACTATTCTAAGATAATTAATTAATAAATTGCATTATACAGAACTATATTTAAAAATATAAATATATTTGTTACAATAACCAATTATTTTATTGTAACACATCTTTTTCTGTCCTTTTTATGACGTTAGAAAATGAAAATGGAATTGTATACAATTAAATAATAAACGCCATTTAAATTACGATTAAATTAAGACTTTAATTAAATAATTTGATTTATATTGCAGATTCGATGCGTCTTCATCTTTCCCTTTCCAGTACTGTTTATCTTTGTTCTTATCCTATTTTAGCATCGTTCCATCTTTGTCACCGCAACTATTGTTCTTGAAACTGTGGAGATATTAATTGAGTAAATTAAAATCTTGTATTACAAGGAAGAACGATAAGAAAGAAAATGCAAAAAAATGTCTAAGCTTTGAAATAGCAAACTATATTGTTCAATATGAATTAATATTGAAAAGAAATCGTTTTTATTTATCAAATGATAGTTTTTAAAAAAAAATTTTCTAATCTTTTTAAAATGCTTTTTCTTTGCAGACAGAATTTATCATGTACACTATATTTGAGTACACATAACTCACAAGAACTGAAAGTCTGAGACACTGTCTCTGCTTATAAAAAAATTCATTTACCCTGTTATTATTTCATGTAGAAGGTATACTCGTTGACACGGTGTTACTTGCAAGGATCATGCATTAAAGATGAGCAAACAAGGACACTTAACCAATTTCTTCTGAAAAGAAATATGTCAACGTATTATTAATAAAAAGATTAATACTCTTGAAAATTGCATATAAAGTATTTGAGACAGATAGGATCGCTTATTTAAAAATTGAAAAATAAAAAATAAACGAATTTCAGAGAAATAAACTTGTTCTTTTCGTTATAAATACTTAAGTAGCACCTTGAATTTCTATAAAATAACTTTCTGACAAAATTTATAGAATATTATGGTAAGGTTTTAGAACCCGAGTACAGGATTTGAAAATCTGGAATTTGGAACTTGGAATTTTGGAATGATAGAATTTTTAAATTCAGGAATTTAGCATTCTGGAATTGTAGATGTTTGAAATTTTGGAAATTTTAAACTTAGAAATTTAGAATTGTAGAATTTTGGGATCGTGGAATTCTGGAATTCTGCAATTGTATAACAGAAGTTTGGAATTTTAGACTTTTAGACCCGATCGAAATTTTTAAATGGTAAGGACCCAGTTGAAATTTTTGGGGGATAGCCCTTCTTTAGCCTAACTAGTTCCACCAATGCATAATGGCCACTTTAAATAAAACGTCAGGTCGAAAAACGTAGAGTTTTAAAAATATGACAGGTAAAGTGGTGCGAATGTATGCGAAGGAACACGATTGCCATGGGAACTTCATAAATCTGCGGTGACTCTTACGGTGAATCCCTTTTCTTTCTGCGGTTTCCTCATGGTCACAAACCAACACGTTTTCTTGGCATTTCATACCGAAGAGTGTGGCATATTTTACACGGAATACTCTATCCACCGTCATAGCGGTGAAAGAAATATGTGAATATTCCAATAAAACATGTTCATCGTTCAACAATACTATGAAATAGAGATACTTCAACTTACAGTATTCTTCTAAAGTTTTCTAAACTTTTGAATGGTAGCGCATAAATAATTGTTGCATAAAATTTTAAAGAATTTAATTTAATTCAGTACCATAAATAACAGCGCTTAAATATATAATACATCATTCTGATGTATAAAATATTTTCAATTTGTTTGAAAATAATTCTTAGGGGAGATGTTAAACGTAAACATATAATGAAATTTATAATAGACGTTCCTCATTTGTTCAGCCAGGACGATAATTTCACTGAACTATGTGAAAAATTTACGGCTGTTTATTCCCCCCTCCCATTGGATACGAAAGCTCGACGAGTAGTCGCGAAAATTTATTCCATTTCATACCGGTCGGCCCATTTTTTCGTCCGATTTATGAACAAACTGAATAGCAAGCGGGATAATTTATTAAGTTTTTTAGCCGTGCAACTGGCAGCAATGCAGTCTGATTTGAATTCTGAACAAAGCAACGTTAATGAATCTTTGAACGATAAAATCGACTCACCGCCGTGAAAGATATAACGTTCATCTGTCTCTGTGGATAAAAATTAACAAATGTTTTCCTATGATCTACTGATCGAAGGGACAATAAATGTTCCACTAATTTATCTGTAGAAAATTATTTTATCATGGATATAAAATTATATTCCGTTGCTGATGAAATAATACTGTAATAACGAATGATTAATTTGCTAAAGTGGCAGTAGAGTATTAAATAACAAGATGTGGCTGTAAATATTAGAATAATGTTAATTAATCGAACCAGTGAATTATGAATTAATATAATTATAAAGTAATTATACAAATTAAATTATAAGTATAAAATTTTAACATTACAGAATTCCAAAATTCCAAATTACTAAAATTTCAGATTTCCAAAATTCGAGAACTTCAGTTTTCTAAAATTATGGAATTGCAATTTCCAAAATTTCAAATTATCAAGCCTATAAAATTACGAAATTTCAAACTTTTAGATTTCCATAATTCCATAATTTTAAAATTTCTAAGGGACCAGACCTACCACCCCGGAAAAAGGTTCTAGTTACACCAATGTTGGACCTTTTTTAATAATCTTGTCACGTAATAAATAATCACGTTGAAAACCATAATTATTATCGAAACACCATGAACCCTTTAACGAAACCTTCTCTCTTCCCGTCTGCTTTCGAAAATGCTCGTTCGAATTCGAAAAACGTGCCTTATCAGGACTATGTCAAACATGCCCGAGGCGTCGCGTTGCAACAAACATTCCCGAAAATCTGCTTCGAGGAACAGAGGGTTGCGCTCCTTCTCCTTCGGCATGTACCAACACACTCCTGCGTGTTTGCACACGTAGCGAGCAAGCGAGCAGCGCGCGCGCGTACAGATAACGCTTAGGCGCATCCTGGTTACAGGAACAATACGGATTGAATGGAACCGGAGAGTCCTGGAGGAGAGGAGGGAAACGGCGAACGGTGTGCAAACGGGCTTTGCGCGAACTGAGATCGTGTAGATGGAACACTGAGCCGACAATATGTCTGCTAAACCTTACGTAACGCGATCTCCTTGTCCCCCTGTACCTATGTGTTCACGCGTGTACGCGTGACCCGCCGGAAGTCAGCTCTTTGGTAGCTGATGCGTTCTGCTTCATTCGCATGCGGATGAAAGTGATGGAATATTAATGTATTAGCCTTTCTGAGACAACAGAAAGCCTTACTTCATCATTCTAAGGTTTTAAGATTCTAAAATTTAAAATATCTGAAAATTCTAAAATTCCAGAATTTCAATATTTAGAAATTTCCAAATTCTAAGGTTCTTTAATTTCCGAATTTCCAAATTCCTCAATTACAAATTCGATGGTTTTGAGATTCTACAATTCAAAAATTTCTAAATTCTGAGAATTTAAATTTCTAAAATTCCTCAATTTCCAAATCCCCAAATTCCAGAATTTCTAAATCTTAAGATTTTAACATTTTCGAATTCCCAAAGTTCAAAATTCTAAAATTCCTAAATTTTCGAATCCCAAATTCCTCAATTACAGAATTAAAAAGTTTCCAAATTCGATGATTTTGAGATTCTACAATTCAAAAATTTCTAAATTCTGAAGATTTAAATTTCTAAAATTCCTAAATTTCCAAATCCCCAAGTTCCAGAATTTCTAAAATTCTAAAATTTCTAAATTTTCGAATCCCAAGATTTTAAAGTTTTAAGACTCTAAAACTATAAAACTTCGGATTTACAAAATTTCAAAATTACAGAATTCTAAGGTTCTAAAATTAAAAAATTCCAAAACTGAAACACTCTAAGGTTTAAAAATTCTAAAATTCCAAAATTTATAAATTCTACAAATTTTAAACTTTGATGCTTAATGAAATTAAAAGTCTTTGCCTACTCCAAATGAAAATCCTACCTTCACCAATAATGGCACATCAATTTTTTATGTAGATGCCTACATAATATTTTATAGAATGCAATCAATACTTACAAATAATCTATACAACTACACGATCTATTAGAAAAACCTTAGCGTGAAAAACAGAGACTTTAATGGAACGAAAGGAATGCCTTAGAAGTAAAACGCGTAGGACATCTCGTCTCGATGGAGAACAATCCAAGTAGGACGTATATATACGTTTACATAACTGTCTCCGTACGAAAGAAGATAGGCTTTCATACAATGAGAAGAAACCGAGACGAGACGAGACGAGGGAGACGATCTGGTTGGATCGAAAGCTTTTCCACGCTGATGCACATTGCGTGTATCGTCTGCTGTTAGTAAGGGAACATTAAAAATGTACGATTAATAGTTTTCGATGAAAGATCGATCCGTACAATGCACTCCATAGCAGCATAAATTCTTTGAAAAATTATCATAATTTATGATAACTTGTACAAGCTTTTTCCTATGTAAATTGAAAATGACGATTCTTTGGTCCATATTTTTTCTGAACTAAATTTCTTTTTTTCTTTCATTATATACTATAATTTGATAGCTTTTGCAAAATTTCAATTTTCATTCTCAACGAACTATAATCATCTTTCTTTGAATTCTTCAAATATCAGATACCAAATGTCCCTATCTACTGAAATTTCCGAAAATATCACGTATCGTTTACGTGTTTTCCCACGATTCGTCGCGTTATATCCAGCGACGCGGTATCTTAGGTGAAACATTAAGAGGCAAGACGAGCGGTCTTGGTCGATTAGCATACGCTTTAAAATCCGCTCGGAAGCCGCGTGTTATTAATACGTTATTTTGCATAATGCATGATGGAAAAGTACCTATCCTCTTCTTCATCGTTCGCGATCTAACTCGTTCGTCTCTGTCGTGCCAAGGAATCGTGAACGGAATTTGGAGGTCCTTTCCAGAAGACGTACCGAAGGTAAAACGCGATGGTTCAGACGTGGTTGTGCAAGAATCGTGGAAATAGAAGGACGACCGGATTCCTCGAGTCATTCAACGATGACCCATGATTTTTTATTTCTTTTATTTCTATCTATCATTATCGATTCGATCATTCTTACACTGCATGTGATTTTAGGCTTGTGCTTTTCAAGGTTTCCTCTCTAAAAACATTCCGAATGGTGCGCGAAGAGAAGAAAATAATTGAATTGAAATTTCAATTGAAGAGATAAAGGTACCGTGCAAGATTCAAAGCGGCAAACTCGCAGGTTGTCATAGCAAACATAAAGCACACGGTTTTCTCAACACTTGTTTGTTTAACACGTAATGTTCCAATATTAACCGAAAACGGACTGGACACTAGGAAACTACGCCCTTTGAGCTGTGTAAATAGAACGTAATGAAAACTTACGAACGGAACAAGCGCGAAACTGGCAATGGAAACGTTTCGCGCGTAATAATCTGATTCAGGTGTTCTTAATGTGTTCAACGCATTTCCTTGTACATTTCAACGAGCACTCGTTTCGGCTATGATTTTCCTAATGAAGAAAGTTTCAACGCTTTAATTATGGAATACACTCGAATCCGTTTATTGTGATTACCTTGGGATTTGAAATTATATCGGACAGAAGGTGAAAGATCTTGAATATTGAAAATAATTTACTGTAAACAATTATGACAATTATGATACCCCTTCATTGCAACATTATGTTTCATGGATTGTTATGCTACCTATATGTGGGTGATGTTTGAATTTCAATA